TGTGTACAAATTTTTTGTGTGCACACTTTTGACTATAAACCTAGGAATGGAATTGCTGGGTCATATGTTAATAACTCTTTTGAGGAATTGCCAGACTGTTTTCCAAAGTGGCCACATCATTTTATGTTCCTAAGCAGTATATGATGTTCCAATTTCTCCACATCCTTGCCAGCACTTGTCTGTGCTTTGGATTAGATGCATTCTGTAGGGTGTGAAGTGCTTTCTTGTGATTTTTATTTGCATTTCCCTCATGATTCATGATGTTATTATATCTTTTCCTGTGCTTATTGCCCATTTGTGTATCCTCTTTGCTCATTTTTCAATTACACATTTTGGTTTTTATTGCTGAGTTTCTTTATAATTATTTTGTGGTAAACACTTTATACAACTCTTTTTTTTTGGGGGGGGTCCAGTCATGGGGCCTGAACTCTGGGCCTGGGCGCTGTCCCTCAGCTCTTCAGCTCAAGGCTAGTGCTCTACCACTCGAGCCACAGTGCCACTTCTGGCCCTTTTTTTTTTTGCTTATGTGGTGCTGAGGAATCGAACCCAGGGCCTCATGCATGCAAGGCAAGTGCTCTACCACTGAGCCACCTTCCCAGTCCTTATACAACTCTTAATATAATTTGCCTAGCATTTTTCTTAATATAGTTCTCTAAACTTGGTTGAACACTACTAAGTGCTATTTTCTGCTTAACTTGCATATTGCTTAGCCTTATTTTAAAGCAAAACAAGTGTAACTAATATAATTTTAATTGGCTATAGAATATTAATTAGATACAGTGATAAAAAGACCAACTTCTAGGATTCCTTCATTTTTGTGTCTATGGTACTTCTTTTTGTCCCAAAGCTTAAATTCAGCATTTGGTAAACAGAAAGCTCCTAGAGACGTTGTCATAACATGTTTACCTCAGTGGAATGAGTTGACAGTTTCTTTACTTCCCTTTTGGGGGACTAAAAGATAGTAAGTGCACGTTACCCAGGCACTCAGATGTGATCAGTACGGGTGTATGAAATAAGGACAGATTAATATGGGGCCAAACTAGAATCTCAGTAAGTTTTCATGTTGAAAATGCTCACACTCAGCATATGTTAGAACTAATGTGAAAAGCTATATACATTTTTTGAGAGGTAT